AGAGACCAGCACAAGACAGCGACAGCCTTACCAGCCCATGGAGGAGAAAGCTGGATGCCATTGGGTAGGCGGCTTCCTGGCAGAGTAGGTTGCCTTCAGAAATTAATTGGTAGAGAGACGGGCATAAGATGAGTAGCAGGTTGGCCAGCCCACGGAGCAAGAGAGCTAAGTGTCCTCTGGGCAGAAAGATTCCTGGCAGAGTGGGTTGCCCTCGGGCATTAATCAGCAGAAGCTGAGAGACCAAGGAATCTAGAAGCAGAGCTGCCTCTCAGCCTTAAGGGTAGGACCATGGCCTTTGGGGGTGGAACCACCCCAGCCCCCTGGGTTTCAAAGAGCCAGACCTTCACCAACTCAGTTTTGGAATTGGTGCTCAGTTCTCAAGGGCTGCTTGTTCATATGGGCCAGTGGGATGGAGTCATAGCTGCTGCTCAAGAGTGAGGGGTGAGGGGACAAGGCTGCCATGCCCAGTAGGTAAAGGAACAGGGCCCACCAAGCTAAGGGGGTGAGGTCATCACTCAGGAACTAGGGATCTAGAACCCCCCCAGTGAAGGAGATCTCTATACATACCACCCATTAAAGATCTGTACAGATGCCAAGTTGACAAGGGGTAGAATTGTGGTAGTTAAGGTTGTTTGTCAACTTGGCTGGGCCTGGTTGAGTGGCTGGGCAGCTGGTGGTAGTTACTCCCCATGATGAGACTGGCACTCATCTCCCTGGTGGGATCTACCAGAAGCAGCTACTTAGCTGCTTTGGGCATGTGAATCTGCTTCCTGTATATAAGAAACATCTTTGGGAATGGTCCTAGTTTATGGCATGCTTGAACCCTATATGTAGCCAAGTTACTGTTCAGCAGCCTGCCATGCTCTGCCGATCTTGGGACTTCCAGTGGACTTGAATTAGTGGCCTGCCGTGTTGTTTGGTAACATTGGGACTGTGCCTTTTTACAAACTTTGGGTTTGTCAGCCTCAGCAGCCAGTAGCTGAGTGAAGAAAAGCTTCCAGCTTCAGTGGGCCAGAAGCAAGAGGCAAAGCTGAAGCCCAGGGTTGAGGGGCTTTCACCCAGCCCCTAGAGCCTGGCACTTTGAACTCAGACTTAAAGCCTCCACACTGTAGGAGAATAAACTCCTGTTTGTTAATGCCATCCCCTTTGTGGTATTTTCTGTTAGAGCAGCACAGAGGTAACCAAAACAAACCTTTATCCCTACATTTTCCTCCAACTATCCTCCTGTTTCTCTGATTAGTAGTAAACCTCTTCAAAAGGGGCTGTCCACCGTTCCTCTTACAGCAGACTTTCTTGAGCCCATTCCAGTTACCCATCCCCATCATGCACCTGTGCGCACACACATACTTACTGCCCCTGTCAGGAATCCCCGAGTCCTCTATATTGTAAGCATTAGACACAGTTTCTCATTTCTCTGTGGAATGCTGTCAGCTGTACCTGCAGTATATTTCCAGATACCAAATGTTTCTCCCTCCCTCCACCATTGTCCCTTTGTCCACCGTCACCTTTCCCCAATAATTGTGCTGGCCTCCTCACACCTCCCGTCCACGCTGCCTAGAACTCTTTTTGCTCATTTCCCTTCCCATTCTGCGTACGTTCTTGTCTGGGGATACTGCTAAACCCCAAGTCCCTGCCACAGAGCAGGTGCTCATATCTGTCTGTGAGTGAATCAGCTGATGACATTTGCATAGTGTGCACAGGGTCAAGGTTGGAATCTGGATTTCTGTGATTTAGAAGGAAAATGAGAGGTCTGGGAAGACAGCAGCAGAAACACCGCCATGCTGAGGGGCAGGGTTAGTCAGGGAAAGGAAGGCAAAGCGTAGAACTCCACCTGAGCGACCAGCAGGTTAGGGCAACCCAGCACGTGTATGTGCAAGGCTGAGGCTCAGTGCTAGTAGAATGTGAGTGTGCATAAGAGCGTCATCACCACTGTCCCCGCAGACAGTCCCTCAGCAAGCAAATTGGGCCATGCAAGAGTGCAGTGGCCTCCCCAGGGCTGTGCTGTTACAGGGCCCCTCCAGGCTGAGTGGTCAGTAGGGCAAGCACGGGGCTTCTGTGAAGAGCAGGGGCACTGCGGACAGCCCCATTGGATCACAGACCTCCCCAGGAGCCACCGAGCTCAAACTTGATCTGCTCCTCGCTGCTTTCACTCACCTCCTTGACATAGCTGTTGTAAATGTGTCTGCTCTGTTACAGTGCGGGAGCAGGAAGGACGGGGACCTTCTGCGCCCTCAGCACAGTCCTGGAGCGGGTGAAAGCAGAGGGCATTTTGGATGTCTTCCAGACAGTCAAGAGCCTGCGACTGCAGAGGCCACACATGGTCCAGACACTGGTATGCCACCCTATGTATTTGTCCATGTCATCCCTGCAGTCCTTGTCTGTCAGGGCCAGCTCTGGAAGGAAGTACTTCTAGGGGGGCTCACCTGCGAGTCAGATGGTGGGCCCTTTCCCCAAGGTGCTTCAGACACACAAGGAGTGCCATGAAGAAGCAACATAGTAGTGGGAGCACAGCCCCTCCCACCAGCAAGAGATGTGCCCCTCTGTGAAGGTTTGCAGAGGGTTCCTGGTACCCCACGGGACTCTTCACTAGTCCGTGGGCCCTGGGGTGGGAAGACCCAGGAGTCCAAGTTCTCTCCAGTTACATCTTTCCTGCCTCCCTCTGTTCTGCTCAGGCTCTGACTAAACATCTGGATCTCTGGTAACCCCCAAGCATGGCAAATAGACATCAAAAAATGTTTTCCTGAACCCCATGTCACTAGAAATGTTTGAGGGGAAAGGCAAAGTGAATTGTAAGGGGTTTAGGAGATGAGGTATTGGCAACAGCATGTGTCCCAGCTGCAGCCGTGATGCAGTGTTAGCCACACTGAGTCACCTCCCTGGCCTGTCTGCCAGCCCAGCACATACATGTCTGACCTCGCAGGCCCCAGGGTCATCGTCTCTGGTTGTAGAAGATTGGTTCCACCCAGCCCCAAAGGGATGCTGTCAGAGCTCTGGCAGAAGGATCAGGGCACAGGTGGACATCAGAAACTGTCATTTCCTCTCAAGTTTGTATTTAAAAACAATGGGCCTGTTAGGAACTGCAGATAGAGTGTTCTCTTCAATAACCTGGTTTTTTTTCTCACCCATCTCTCTAGGAACAGTATGAGTTCTGCTACAAGGTGGTACAGGAATATATTGACGCATTCTCAGATTATGCCAACTTTAAGTAAGAGGCGACAAGGCCCGTGGACAGAAGAATTGCCTTCTTTAATATTTTGTAATATTCTGTTTTGTTAATATACCCAAAATTGTGTATATATCTTATAACTGTTTTAGAAATTGGTACATAGGCTTCTATTACCTATTAGGTGGAGATTTTATATGTAAATGTGTTAGCACTGATGGTCCTTTTTCCAATGTTTTATTGGGGAATTAAATAGTGTGATGTTTGGATTGATATCGTGAAATCCCCTGCCTGGAAATTGAGCTGAATTGTGGTTTGGTTTATTCATCTTTTTCCTGAAGAAGATGAACACAAAATTGATTCCAGGTAGCTCAGTACCAACTAAGAAAAAAGCACAAAGTCCTCAGAGCTCTTGAGGAAAGCGGCTGTCCCAGTGCCCTTGTGCAGGCCCCTGTCCCTCCCTCCCACTGTAAATAGTCCCCCCACCTATGACCTCCCCACATTCCACCTTGGGGAATAGAGGGACCAGAGCAGTATCTCTGGCACACACTAGGGATGATCAGCTAATAAAAGCTTTGACTCCCTGAGGAAATGTCTCTCCCTTTGTCTGGGGTGGGGCAGCCAGACCAGGCTGGGCTTTCCAAGGCTGTGCCTGGCCCTGCTGGCCACGGATACAGCATAGTCCTGGCTCCTTTCCACCAAGCACAACCCATCCAGCTCTTTGCTAATTGCCAGGATCTTCCTTCCACTCCCTGTACATCTTTGATACAGTGAGTGGCCCCAGCAGCCTTGCTCCCTGAGGCGGCATCCTCACTGAGTTTCCTGTAGTGCAGGGCCACAGGAGAGGAGGTCACTCAGCTCAAGTGCTGAGGCCAGTGTGACTTTTCAGTCCCTGGAGCTTTGCTGCAGAGCAGTCTAGATTGTCTCTCTGCCCAGAATAGGTCTTTAAATCCACCTTGATTGTGTTAAATAGCTTCCATTTCCTTTTGTATCTGTCATCATTTCCAGGACTTGATGTGCAAGTGCCTCAGATCCAGAGGCCAGGTCGGTGGGAGTTTTAGATCCCAATTTGAATAGAGTCCAACACATGAGAAGGACAGTGGCTTCATAAGGTCGACGTTCATTTCTTACCCCCATGACTGTCTGCCCAGTCAAGACCCAGGATCTTTCCATCTTGCGGCTCCACCATCCCTCTGATGTTCTCATCGTGGTTTAAGCTGGGTCACTGCCATGTCTGTACTCCAACCTGCGATGGTGAAAGGGCATGAAGGGCAAGCAGCTTCTTTTTTTAGGACATTGTACATTTTAGGCAAAAGTTGCACTTCTCATTTCCACTCATGTCCCATTGGCCAAAACCTAGTCGTATGGCTACACCTAGCTGCAACAGGTGCTGGGAAATGAGGTCTTTAGTTGGGGACACAGCTGGAAGCGTGGGTCTATTCACTGCCCTCCTAGCCTCACATAGCAGCTCATCACAGGAGCAGGGGAGTAAACTGGTTCCCGTGACGGTCAGTGAAGTGTTGAGAGGGCCCTGCAGCCAGAGGAGGTAAGCAACAGAGCTGGCCCAAGAGCCATCCAGCCATGATGCTACCCCCTAGGACTTCATCCCCTCACCCTGGGCTCCCCAGAGGGTGTCAGGAATGAGAGCTGGGACCCACTCTGAGGGTATCTGTGGAGGCACCCTCAGAGGTCAGGGCCACTGTGCTTCCTGGAGGAGGCAGTGCTTGAACTGGACCTGAGAAATGCTGGACATTGAGATGAGTAAAGAGGAGGACAGGTCAAGTGGAGCCACACTGCAGAGGATCTCAGAGTCCCCACAAAGCTGTACAGACTCAGCAGTTCCAAGAGGGGAGCTACGATCTGTACCGCACAGTCAGGATGTTTGAGTGGAGGAGGGTGGTGTGTGGATGGAACCTCGGGAGGCCTTCAGGAGGCAGGGTGCTACAACAGGCCACCTCTGGGAGTTTCTGAGAGGTGAGCATTGAGTCACATTAGAGGCATCTGGTCTTTCTGTAGGAACTCAGGAACTCCAGGAGCTGGTACCTCAAAACTCAGTAGTTTCAAATCAGGGGTGGATAAATAAATTAAACAAAGTCAGAGTCAGGAATTTCTGAAGAAAGGTGCCATGTTTGGGGAGGACACCTTGCAAGCTATCCTCTGATGCCTCTGGGAGACCAAATCCAGGCAAATGGAAGAGGGTGGGCCATTCAGCAACTCATTCAGCAGACACAGGAGTCCATTCTGAGTCCCGTGCTGCCTCCCTCCCCCCTCCCATCACTGCCTCTCCTCCTGCTGGTGTTGGCCTGGCCATCTGTCTGCTGGAGTCCATGGTGATTGGGTCAGTGGTTGGGCCAGTATTTTAAATCACTCTGGTAGAAGCTCTAGTAGCATAGTGCCTAAGGCATTTGACTGCTAACCAGAAGGCTGGCGGTTCAAACCCACCAGCCACTCCTTGGAAGGAAGGTTGGACAATGTACTTCTGTAATGATACTGCCTCGGAAACCCAAGGAGGGGTCACTATGAGTTGGATCCGACTCGACGGCACATAACAACAACAACTGGTAGCTAAACAGATGCCTTCAAGCAGGAATTACCTCAGCTCTCCACTCCCCTTCTCATTCTCACCTTACAGTGTATGCTCCATCCCTCCTTCACATCCTTCTTACTTTCTTTGTATTACTCAGGGCTCACGTGATTGCAAGAGATCTAACCCAACAGGAATTCGAAAAACCAAACCCACTGCCATTGAGTCAATTCTGACTCATAGGGACCTTTTAGGGCTGAGTAGAACTGCCCCATAGAATTTCCAAGGCTGTAAATCTATAGAAACAGACTGCCTCATCTTTTCCCACAGAGTGCCTGGTGGGGGTTCAAACCACCGACCTTTTGGTTAGCAGCAGAATGCTTTAACCACTATACTATCAGAGCTCATTCAACAGGAACTAGTCTAGGCTAAAAGGAACAGGTATGGGGGCTCTCAGGGTACAATTGTGTGGGAAAGGCAAGTGGTAGCCAGTCAGCTGTGACCAAAGGGTAGAGTATTTCTTGGAAGAAGGAGGGTGAGTGCTGTCTGCAGCCCCACCCCTCACCCAAAGCTCCGGGTCCTGCCACCCTCTGACCTCTGCTTCATCCTGAGTTTTCTGTTTCCTTCATAACTCCCCTCTCCCAAACACACTAGTCTCTTTCATTTAAAAAATAAAAATAGCACTGCCCTCTGGCCAGAGTTGTTCTCCCTTTGTGATAGATTTCTTGGAAAAGTCAGTACTCACTCTCCCTCATCCTCCCTTCATTCCCACATAGTCTGGGGCTAAACCCCAGGAGCCCATTTCTCTGTTCACTGGCTGCTCCTTCAAGGTCTCCTTCCTCAGAGGTCAGGATTCCTAGGGTCTGCATGCCCTCCTTCCTGCCCCTCTGCTGTGCTCTTGGCGTCCAGGGGGTCCCACGTCCACATACTTTGCTCCAGCATATATTCTCTGTTCCCAGTCCTCAATCTCTAGCCGGGGGCATCTCGTCTCCATTTTGTTGCTTTGGATTACCCCACTGTGCCATCCCCATTCCCAGGCCACTAGCTAACCCCTCATCCTTCACCAGGGCCAACTGGTCAAGGAGTCGTGTCCCTCCTCGGTTCCCATGCACCTATGAGTATCTGCTGACAGGAACGATGTCATGTCCTAGGGCCCAAGCATTAGGAGGAGCTAGAGTCACCACATGGGTCTGGGCATTGCCCAGAGGGATACAAGAATGAACTCCAGAGCTTAGGGTCTGGAAGGAGACATCACACGTTTATGAAAAGCCATTCCAGTTCCCAGAAAGGAAGGGACCAGAGGCCCTGGCAGCAGCCTCCAACTGAGCAGCTTAGTTACTGGAAAAAAAAGGAGTTTTGCAGGAAAAAAAAGGTAATCAAACTACAGAAAAAATACAGGTGCCCTATTCCTCTCTCAAGGTGCCCTGGTGGCATTGTGGGTAAGGTATTTGGCTGCTAACCAGAAGGTTGGCAGGTCAAACCTACCAGCTGCTCTGAGGGAGGAAGATGAGGCAGTCTACTTACGTAGATTTACAGCCTTGGAAACCCACTGGGGGTTGCTCTTAGTCGGAATTGATTCTGTGGCAGTGAGTTTTGTGGTTTGGTATTTCTCTTAAATGCCAGGGACTTTGAATAAAACATTGTGTAGATTCAAACCAGAACTAGTTTAAGCCAGTTTATTGAACTCAGGATCATTTTACTAAACAAAGCAAACGTTTTCCCAGAAATCACCTAGTTAACCAATAACTTACATCTTTATTTCCCAAATCAGTTTCACTGAACATAGAATCCACTATGAACATAGAAGTACTCCATTCATTTGCGTCTGTGCTAAGTCAGTCAGTTTAGAAATTCCCATGTGCCTAGCCAGGTGCCTGTGACGGATTGCAGCCCAGTGTGCTGCCACCCTCTGCCCCAACTGCCCACACACACACACATTTTGTCACAAGGTGTGATTCACAGAGTCTTCAGCCACCACAATGCCAAGCCTGACCCTGGGCCTCACATTTACTGTTCAGCCCAAGTGTGGAGATTGGCTATTAACCCTGTAAACAGGCCTCTGACTCCAGGAAGCTGGGCCTGACGGTGCAGAGCCCAGCCTGTGACGCAGACTGGGAGGTGGGGGCAGGGGCCTTTTCAAGCAGCCCAAGGTAGCTGTCTGCATCCACATGGGGTCCTGGGGTGAGTACAGGATGGACGGGGCTGGAGCCTGGAGAAACAAGTAATCTTACCCCAGGGGCTACGCTGCCTTCTCTCTCTCTCACACACACACACACACACAGTCTGTCTCTCCCTCTGTCTCTCCTGGACACAGGACCCTCGTGGGCAGGTACTACCCTACCTAAGCCTGCCCCCACCTGGAGGGACCCAGCCGTGGTGTCCAGATGTGTGTCCACCCAGCCCATTTTACAGGTGGATATTACAGGTGGATAAACCCAGCCAGGTTGGGGGGGGGGTGTCACAGCCTCCTCCACTAGACCTCATATCAGGCTGCTAAGCACCCATTCTCTGGCCTTCATTCTTCTACGAGGGGTGCCCAGAGTTGGATGGGAGTCAGAATCCCCAAGCATTGCCCTCTCCAGGCCTCTTGGGCAGGAGTTTGAGAGTGCAGCCCAGAAAGTGGGACTGTGAAGCTCGGCGCAGGCCAGGCCGGAGTAGCAGTTCCAGGGACTTAAGGCTTCTGGGATGATGGGCAGGGTTGCATCTGCCTGATGACCCCAAGGCAGCGCTGTGTGTGCTCATGTTGGGGGAAGGGTGCTGGCTAGCGAGCTAACCCCCCCCCCCATCTTTCAAGACGTCATTGGAGTCTGAGCTGGAGGGGACGGGGTGGAGCTGCCTGACCAATAAATCCCAGAGCCTTCTGCCTGGGGTCTCACTGCTGCCAGAGGAGCCGCTTTGTCCACAGCTCCGCTCTCCCTTGGTGAGTCAAGGGGCTGCCCCTCTCCCTGCCCCAGTCCCTCCAGCTGCAGTCATCCCAGAAGAGCCGCCTTTATCTCTTCTCCCCAAGTCCACCGTCCATTCCTTTGCCTGCTGGCCTGGCATGGGAGGGCCAAGGGGTAGAAGCACTTGCACACCACCACCACCATGTGTGCTGCACGCCCAGCTGCCATGGGAGATAGAGCAGGTTGCAGAGACACAGGGCACAGGGTCTTCCAGCACCAGTGCCCCAGCTCTCATGTGCCCCCACGTTGCTGCCTGTCCCCATGGAGAACTTCCCTGACCAGCCAGCCATCAGCCTGAAGTCTCTGTTACCTCCCCAAACTTCCTCCCAAATCTGGAACTCACTGAAGGAAGGATGGGCTGGACCGACATAGGGGGCCCTCAGAGCTGGCAAAGCACGTGGGGCAGAGCTCTCTGGGAGAAGCCTGGGTCCCTGAAGCATCCTCCTCCCTGACCTAGTCATGGAGTCCTCAGGGCCCAGAACCCTGTAAGATTGGGACCAGGAGCAGCAGCAGAAGAGGGAAAGGAGACCCTAAAGCCACCCCGAGATTCCAGATGTCCAAGGGGAACCTAGGAGAGGAAGGAGGAGATATGTGTGAGAGTGTCAGACTCCTAAGTGCTGTCCACCTTCCATGGGGGCAGCCCCACCATGGCCAGCTGCAGGCAAGGCCGCCGCCTCCTGCTGCTGCTGCTGCTGCTGCTGACTGCCCACCCTGGACCCTTGAAGGCTCAGCATTGGTCCCATGGCTGGTACCCTGGAGGGAAGCGAGCCTCCATTTCACCCTGGGGCCTCCAGCGGGCCCCTGGACTCCCAGGTAGGTGATGGGCCAGCCCAGCCTGAAAGGGAGGAAAGAACTAGAGAGGAAGTGCTGGCTGAGCCCCTACACCTACCCTGAGCTGGGGGGTGGGGGGGAGCAGGCGGCAGCTCAGGCTTCCTTCTGAGGAAGGGTCCTGGGCACTGCAACAGACAGCCCAAGCCAGACTGCCCGCAGCCTGCACCACGATGCCCTGGCTTCCGCCGAGGACAGCGTGCCCTGGGAGAGCAGACCTGTGGCCCAGCAGCCACTCCATGGGAAGCAGCACCTGGTGCAGAACCTGTTGGTGAGTGGGATGAGAGGCCCCCAGTATTCAGGCTCAGCCACTGGCCACCACGGCCACCCATGTGGGGGTGAATGAGACACCACCGGGATACCCCTGCATCAGCCCGTTTCTCTCTACCCCTGCTGCACACAGACCTCCCAGGACTCTAAGCATAGTTTGCTAAGATACTTAAAGATCAGAAGTCACTAGTGGATGGGGAAGACCACTGAATCTCTGTAAATAAGACAGTTCTGGCAGAGGTGAGCAGCCCCTAAGCAGGAAGAGATACACAGACATACAACAGGGCCCCAGGACCAGGTGGTCGCTGACATGCACTAATGACTTGGTGACTGTAAAGCTTCCCCAAGGCCATGCAGAAGACAGGCACTGCCCACAAAGGAGTGTACACATGCCTTACTGTTTTTGCAAATTAAAGTACACTAAACCAAACTCGCTGCGGTTTTGTCATTTCCGACTCAGTGACCCCTCCTTGGGTTTCTGAGGCGGTAACGCTACCGAAGTAGATTCCCCCATCTTCCTTCTCAGGTGTAGCTGGTGGGTTTGAACCACCAGCCTTCTGGTTAGCAGTCAAATGCCTTAGGCACTATGCCACAAGAGCTCCCTAAAGTACACTGTTGTTGTTGTTGTTATGTGCCGTCGAGTCGGCCCCGACTCATAGCGACCCCTCCTTGGGTTTCCGAGGCAGTATCACTACGGAAGTAGGATTGCCCAACCTTCCTTCCGAGGAGTGGCTGGTGGGTTTGAACCGCCAGCCTTCTGGTTAGCAGGCAAGTGTCTTAGCCACTATGCTACCAGAGCTCCTCTAAAGTACACTAGGGGAGTATAAGGAGGCTGGTGGTGTAGTGGTTTAGGCATTTGGCTGCTAACCAAAAAGTTAATGGTCAAATCCACCAGCCAGTCTGAGGAAAGCAGATGAGGCTGTCTGCTTCTATAAAGATTGACAGCCTTGGAAACCCAATGGGACTCGCTATGAGTCGGAATCTACTCCATGGCAGGGAGTTTGTTTTGGTCTGAGGATGGCTAGTAACAAAGCTAAACAGAAAGTGGTAAAGCCTCATCGCCTAACTTAAGTCGGTGTGAGCTCAGGTCTTTACATATTAGACTTGTTAATGATGAGCAACGCAGCTCCAGAGAAATGAAGCTCCCCACACTGTGTTCTCAGAGTTTCCCGGGACGAGTTCGCCACTCCTCCGGGAGGCCAGAGCGTAGCCACAGGACCCAGAAGCAAGAATGAGCGGCCAGTGGCGGCAGCTGCTCGGGGCAGCAGGGGAGAAGAGGAGAGGGAGGGCGATCCGGAGGCCGAGGCTCGGCGTTCACGCGGCCAAGGGAATGACCGCCCTTCCCCCTCCACAGACTGGACTCCGAGTGCCACGCCACGCCCTCCCTCCAATAAAAGTGTATGGTCTCAGAAGCTGTTGCTTCTAGTTCTCGTTTTCGTCCCCTCCCTCTCTCACCCCAGCCTGAGACCATTCCCCATGTTGGCGCTGGCGGAACGCGGGTCTGGCCCGCCAGCAGGAGGGACGACCGGGCAGGGAGGGCCCAACTAGAGCCCAAGGGGAGCTGCCCGTAGAGGTCAGCAGGGTCGCAGCGCCACCGGCGCAGCCCGAGTAGGGTCGGGAGGGCGACGGAAACACAAGCCCACACTCCAGAGGGCGGGAAGGCGGAGCCCCAGGACTGCCGGTCCCATGGTGCCCCGCGGCCGCTTCCGGGTCACGGTGATGCCATGGCGGCTCCCCGGACGTCCTGAGCGGACTTGATCATGCTGCGCGCGCTGAGCGCCCTGGGCGCGCGGCCCCCGTGCCGGCCTTCTGTCCTGCTAGTGCTCCAGGCGCGCGGCCGCAAGACCCGCCACGACCCTCCGGCCAAGTCCAAGGTCGGACGCCTTCAGACCCCGCCCTCGGTGGATCCCACGGAATTCTTTGTGCTGACCGAGCGTTACCGGGAGTACCGCCAGATATTGCGCGCTCTCAGGTGGGTGACGGGAGGTGAGGAGAGAACCGTCCGCGCCCACAGCGGTGTGTGTTGCAGCGGGAGGCGAGGATGGGGCCGACTCTAGGTGCATCTCCCCATAGGCTGGAGTTTATGGCCGAGGTGCGGAAAAAAGTGAACGAGGCCCGAGTGGGGGTCCTGGCCGAGCGCAGAGCCCAGGAGAAAGCAATAGAGCACCGGGAGCTGATGACCTGGAACCAGGCGGAAAACCAGCGGCTGCACGAGCTGCGGTGAGTGGGGCGGGAGGCGGGGCGGGCTGCCCGCGGATGGGAGACCCGGAGGCGCTGAGTCTCGGCCTTTCGCTCCCTCTAGGATAGCGAGGCTGCTGCAGGAGGCGCAGGAGCAGGAGCGTCAGCGGGCCGAGGAGCAGGCCCGCCAGGCCCGAGAGGCGCAGGCCTGGGTGCAGCTCAAGGAGCGGGAAGTGCTGCAGCTGCAGGTGCGCGGCGTCTCTGGGTAGGAGGGCGGACAGATCTCCCAACTGCCAGAGGAGAGCATTGGCTATGTGCACCCAGAGAGCACAGCCTGGAGCTTTGGGAGAAAGGAGGCGAGGATTTGGGGAAGGAGCTCTAGGAACGTGCCCGTCAGACAGAGAGGTGAGAGGTGGCCAGCTGTGGTGAGCTATGGTTTGGGGAAGGGAACCATGCATTCCACAGGGAGTTGGCAGGAGTGTGCTTGGTTTATTCACAAGGACAGTGAGGCTGGCCCAGGACCGGGCAGTGTTTCATTCCGCTGTGCCTAGGGTTGCTATGAGTCAGAGATAAGTCCACAACACGTTAACAGCAACAACAGTTCACAGTAGCAAAGAGATGGAAACAACTTAAGTGTCCATCAACCGAGGAATGGATAGATAAACTGTGGTACATATACACAATGGAATACTATGCAACCCTAAAGAATTATGTAGGACCTGCAAAACACCCCATAGAGTGGATGAACTTGGAGGACATTGTTGTTGTTGTTGTTGTTATGTGCCATCGAGTCAGCCCTGACTCATAGGGACCCCTCCTTGGGTTTCCGAGGCAGTATCACTACGGAAGTAGGATTGCCCAACCTTCCTTCCGAGGAGTGGCTGGTGGGTTTGAACCGCCAGCCGTCTGGTTAGCAGGCAAGTGTCTTAGCCACTATGCTACCAGTACTCCATTGGAGGACATTATGCTGAGTGAAATAAGTCCGTCACAGAAAGACAAATATTGTATTTGTCTGCTATTGTGAAAAGTCAAGGAAAGGTTTATATATGGAGGAAACTTTCTTTGTGGTTACCAGAGATAAGAGGGAAAATTTCTAGATAGGTTAGAAAAAAAAGATAGATAGATAGATACACACCAAAGATAATTAGTGGTTACCAGAGGTAGGTAGGGGGTTACCAGGAAGGGGGAAGCTTTTGTTTGGGGGGGGCATTGAGTTTATGCTAATAGGTGGTGGGATATTTTGGAAAAGGATAGCAGTAGTGGTGGCACAACATGAAAAATGTCATTCAAGTCCCTGAGTTGTAAATACAGAAGTTGTTATCTTGGGGAATGTCTTGTTATGCATGTTTTCACCACAATAAAAGTAAAAAAAAAAAAAAGAGGTTTTAATTAAAGTAATAGAAGTAGAAGAATGAGTTTTCAGAGAAATTAAGAGGTGAGCAGGCAACAGTGTACGACTGGCTTCAGCCTACGTGACATGAGGTTGCCACAGCTGGTACTTGAGGTTCTGGCTGATGTATCTGGGGGATGGTTGTTCAAAAGAGCAATGTGGCAAAGCTGCTAAGGGCATTCCACTGGAAGGTCACTGAGGCACTCAAAGACGACCTAGACTCCAGGAGGTCCTTCCCCAGGAAGAGCTGGAGCCTCTCCCTGAGCAGGGTTGAAGCTGACAGCCAGCAGACACATGGGTGGGTAGCAGGTGTTCTAAGGCTGCTGTTCATCTGCCTTCTCTCTCCCAATAGGAGGAGGCAAAAAACTTCATCACCCGAGAGAACCTGGAGGAACGGATAGAAGCAGCTTTGGACTCACCGAAGAGCTACAACTGGGCTGTCACCAGAGAGGGACTGGTGGTTAGGCCACAGCAAAAGGTCTCCTAGGGTCCAGTAATGGCAGTGCCTTCTCAGGGACCCTGTGTGTGTGACGGTAAGAGGTGTGGGCCTGATCTAGAATGAAGTAGCTGGTACTTCTGATGAGGAAGCTCGGCCTGTTGCAGTGTGGCGCTCACACTGGCTTCTGTTTGTGTCACTCGGTTGGAAACTATTCTGCCCTCAACAACAGCCCTCAGTGTAGCATCCGCCCTAGAGTGGTTTCCATCCCAACGAGGAGCAGAATGGGCCACAGGCTTTAAGGCAGCCAGGTCATCTCCTAAGTATCATCAGTGGCAGGGATTGGTAAATTACAGCCCCTGGGCCAAATATGGCCCACTGCCTACTTTTGTAAATAAAGTTTTATTTGGAACACAGCCACTCCTGTTCATTGACTATTTTCGGGAGATTAAGTGTTGCAACATTGACTGTATGACCCACAAAGTCTAAAATATTACTATTGTTTGGCTGTTCACAGAAAAAGTTTGCTGAACCCTGACTTAGGGCTTTAAGGCTGCAGCCAAGAGCAGGGCTCACCTGACACCTGGGCCTCAAGCTAATCATTGGCCATCAGTCTGTCCCTGTGTGATCTCGGGCTTTGTTCACCAGTGTCTGGTGTGTCCCAGTGACACTAGACAAGGAGAAGACCCCATTCCTTCCTTCCCATGGCCTCAGCAATTCACATCTGCCCTGACACTCCCAGCTTTCTTAGTCTATCGACCAGACTGGGGAGGCCTGGTTGACCAAGGCTGTGCAAGGTCGGCGGACCAGATGCAAACCAGCAATACTCGTGTATGAGGTTCTGAAGGCTGAATAAGTGAGCATATAGCCCTGTTCAGATGCAACCTTTCAACACCTGAGATGTGGTTGTAGTTTGAGCAAAACTGCTGCCCTTTGTTGCCCATTCAGCTGAACTGACCTGGATACCACCAGAGGAAAGAAGTGAATCCCAGCTTCTTACCGTGACTCGCATATGGAAAGCAGGGCCTGGGAACCCTAAGAAATGAAATTTATTTTAGAGGATGTGGACTATGCCTCATGTTCTAGGTGAGGAGGCAGGCTTAGAGGTGCAGGCAGAGGGTGGTACGGTGCTTGCACACAGCCCACATCAGGGCCCTGCAGCCCCGAGAGCAGTGGCTTCCCTGAGGCTGCTGTAGTGTTTTCTCGTCCCTGCACTGAGCCTGGCCAGAGCACAGTGTACCCCTGACACTGGTGCCCAGCATCACTCTGATTGGCATCAGGCACTCTGGGCTGTGGTTTGGCCGCTCTGTCCACCCCTTGGACTTGATCATGGTGAGAATAGTAGACCTTCCAGTCCCCCTGCAGTGAGAATCTGATGAGCTGTCACATGGGACCCTGGGCCTGTGTCAGGAAGCCCCAACTCTGTATAATACACTCCCCCAACCTCTTCACAATCCTTCAGTTTTATTCTTTCCAAGCCTCTGATGCTTTGCCCAAGATCCAGTATATGTCCTTAATGCAGGCCATCTGTCTTCAGATAATGGGATGCTCTGATACCTTCTTGAAGCTCTGCCTTTGGGCTGATTTCCATTCACCGCTGTCCTTCAGTGTCCTGCATGGATTGTTACACTTTAGCCATTCACTATTAGCTGATTTTCTGTTGCCAGTATGTCATGCAAACCAAGCTGCAATGTTTATATTTTTGCCCACAGTCATCTTGCTGGTATAGACACAAATAAATAGGCAGCTTACTGGTACCTTCAGGGATGGCCCAAGCTCAGTCCCATGTGTACCTGCTTCTCATGGGTCACAGAGTGCCCAGGTAGGCTATCAGATGCCACCCCATTCAGCATGCACAGCTCTGGAAGCCCATGGGAGAATAACTAATCCCTGGCAGGAACCTGGAGGCTTTACCTGATAGTAATGGCTTTGCTTTAAAAAGACTAAGGTCTCCTCTGATTCTTGTTTCGAGTTCCAAATAAGAGTTGAGTCTCATGCAATGTGAGCTCTGCAGGGTTGCAAGAGCCAGAGTTACCAAAATCATGCTTGCTATACCCTGGATCACCTGGGAAGCCTTCTTTTGCTCTGAGCCCCATTTGAGGGTGTTAGGTTTGGGGGCTACCCATTAAATGCATCAGAGCAGGATACTCAAATGTAAGTGCTCTTGTCAAGATTTGGGGGGCCCACCGTGCTTTCCGCACATTGGGCCAGAGAAGGTGGATTAGGATACAGGTACAGTTTGTGTTTTGCTTGAAGCAGAGGAGGCATACTGACCCCCAGGAACCTCACTGAGCCATTTCCCCAGAATTCAGGTACCCAGCTGCAAAAAAAGACATAGAGGCGGCATCTTCTGACCTCTTACTTCACAAGAAGAAGACAGAAGCACCATCAGCAGCCCAAGGCTTATTCCTCTGAGGCTAGACATGCCGCCACCCTCAAGCCTTTTTACCAACTTTGACACCAACCATCCCTCCCACAGTACTGGCTACTTCTCTGCTATTTCGATAATTTGTTGCAGTGGCCACACACAAGTCACAGATAATGCTCAGGATTATGGGGTTTATTAGGGAAGTAACAGGTTACAGTTCAGGTTCAGGAACACTCAGGATACAAGTCTTCGATCAGGACAGTCTCCCTTCTGCTGTGCCCTCAGACACTCCTCTCTGGCCCTTGGCCTCTTGTCCTGGCCTCTGCCGCTGTAGACCAGGTAAGCCTGCTGCTCTGTCGCGTGCATTTCCACTGCTACCATCTCTCTGCCGGGGTGTCTCTTCACTGGAGCATCTCAGCCAAGGGGGTCCAGCACAGGGATCTCGGGTCCAAGGATGCACTCCACTTTACCTCCAGCTCTTCTGTCCTGATGGCAGTGAGAGCCCCTCTCTGCCTCTAGAAGGGCTCATTTTAACCCTGGTGTGGTAGTTAAGGTTATGTGTCAACCTGGCTGGGCCTGGTTGAGTGGCTAGGCAACTAGTGGTGGTCACTCCCCATGATGAGACTAGCAATCAACTCCATGGTGGGATCTATCACAAGCAGCTGAGTAGCTGCTTTAGGGATGTGGTCTGCTTCCCATATATAAGAAGCAGCTTTGAGAATGGTCTCTAGCTTATGGCATGCTTGAACCCTGCATGTAGCTAAGCTTTGTTCAGCAGCCTGCCATGCTCTGCCAGTCTGGGGACTTTCAGTGGACTTGAATCATTGGCCTACCATGTTTGATAGCATTGGGACTGTGTCTTTTTACTTGTTGACCTTGGGTTTGTCAGCTTCAGCAGCCAGCAGCTGCCTGAGTGAAGAAAACCCTCCATCTTCAGTGGGCCGGGAGCAAGAGGCAGAGCTGAAGCCCAAGGTTGAGGGGCTTTCACCCAGCCTCTACAGCCTGGCACTTTGAACTCGGACTTAAAGCCTCCAAAATTGTAAGAGAATAAACTCCTGTTTGTTCAAGCCATTCCACTTGTATATTCCTGTCAGAGCAGCACTAGGTAACCTAAACACCTGGCAAAGTGACAAAACTTAATTTATCCCAACATCAGAGTTCTACATACCGTATTTGCATGGTCCCACCCAGTAATCTGATAGGTGTTACCATGACTAGAAAAGCCATACCAAGTCATTCACTGCACCACCGTGGGTATTTCCCCATGACACTCAGCATTCTTGCCCTTTCCACTTCTCCAGGATAAGCAGCATGGCATCAGTGAGGCGAACCACCATGATGTCTAGGTGATGGGATGAGAAGATAGCCAAGGTCTTGAGGATGAAGTAGTGTCAATCTGTAGAGCTGTTAATCTGTTGGACTGGTGGTGAAGTATACTGCTGCCAGGTGGAGGCAAATTAGGTTGTAAAAATGTCAGGGTGGCATCTTTAGACCTGGTCTGACTTCACAAGGCAGAGGAAAGAATCAAGATCAACATCAGGCCAAGGCTGATTCCTATGAGTTGAAGGTCAGACATGCCTCCTCCCTATAGTCTTTGTACCATTCTGACCTCAGCTGTCCCTCCTACAGCACTCCACTTGTCTGCTGGGTCTGATCACTCATTGCAATGGCCACACGGGACTCGTGGTTCATACAACTGGCCTTCTGTATCCGCTGGTCCTGCGTCGGAGGATTCAGTCAACCGTGGATAAAAATATTCAGAAAAAGGCAATTAAGTCAAAGCAATTCCTCAAATCTAAGAGAGTAAAGTACGATTTACCTAGCATTTACATTGTATTAGGTATTTTAAGTAATCTAGAGATGCTTTAAAATATATGGGAGGATGTGCATAGGTTATATGAAAATACTACGTCATCTTATAAAAGGAACTTGAGCAGCTAAGGATTTTGGTATCAGTGGGGGTCCTGGAACTTACCTCCAGATGCTAACGGAGAGCTGTACTCAGTTATGGTTGCATCCTGCAGTGCAGTGAATTACTTAATAAGGCCCTTCTAGCCATAGTCTTTGTAACTCCCACCAAATGGGTGGGTACTTGTGACCAGCAAAGGGGATTGGATAGCTTGCTAATAATGTCAATCAGGTGCATGGGACCCTTGTGGGGATGGTACCATGCAAATAAGGTGTATGGAACCCTAACAAGGAATTGATCAGTTTTGCCATCCCGCTAGGCTTTAAATGAGCCATCCCAGAGGCAAAAAGGGGGACCTCACTGGTCCCTGCACTGAAAACTCATAGACCAAGGAGATAGACAGACAGAGCTGTAACACTGGAGAGGACATGAGATGGCGAAAAGCGGTGCCAGAGAAACAGTGGCAGCAGAACCAAGAGACCAGCAGGAGGTGGTGCAGTAGGCTTCCTGCCTGTTGTTGTTGTTGTTATTTGCCATCAAGTCAGCCCCGACTCCCAGCGACCCCTCCTTGGGTTTCCGAGGCAGTTATCACTACGGAAGTAGGATTGCCCAACCTTCCTTCCGAGGAGTGGC